AGACCATCACAGTCCACACAAAGAAGCAGGATAAAGTGGTAGAAATAAGGGAGCAAGATACAGACTCAGAGAAGAAAGCAACATTGGAACTCTCTGATAAGGAATTCAAAAGAATTGTATTTAGGTATCTTCAAAGGACTGAGAGACAGACTAAAGGAGGAGCGATAATATTTAATTGGGAGACCAAAAACCAAACTCACTGCTGTTGAGTCGGGTCCAACTCATAACAGCCCCTCCTTGGGTTTCTGAGGCCGTATCGCTATGGAAGAAGATTGCCCAACCTTCCTTCCGAGGAGTAGCTACTGGGTTTGAACCTCCAGCTTTCTGTTTTTTTGGGAGAACAAAAGATGTTTAAAATAATAGTTAGAAACGGAAAAATCTCTTGACATTCTACCTTGATTTTCCAGGAAGATCTCTAAATAGAAAAGACTATACCAGAGAAGGATTTTAAAGGGAGACTACACCAGAGGTGCTGACTAATGCTACCTTGTGAACTCTGCCATTGAGTTATGCAGCATGGAAGGCTTCCCCTAAATCACAGATACATGGTAGCTGAACAAAATGCCAGTAATAATTATCAGCTTATACCCTAATCACAAACCTGCAAAGGGATTGCTCTTATAGTTTTCCCAAAAATCTTCAAATTCCTTTCGGACCTCCTCATCCATGATGATCCCTGTGGACTGCTCATTATTCACTTGGACATAATTGGCCTTCAGGACTATCTCCACTTCACAACGCACATCTTGCTGAAAGGGCTTCCACCGTTGCATTACAACTCCATAAATAGTGAGGTCATCCCCTGCAGAAAAGGACCAAGTGAGTCCAGCAGTAGTGTGCATGTTGTGTGTGGATTAACACGACAAGGGATCAGAAATTAGACATAAACTACTGCCCTACCAGAGTTTAGAGTGTGTATGCTCATCCAGAAAACAATGGGCCAAAAAGCACCATTGGAAAAAAAAACACAAACAAACCTACTGCCATAGAGTCGACTCCAACTCACAGTGACCCCCATTTGGTTTCCGAGGTGGTGAATCTTTACAGAAGTAGATTGCCCGGTCTTCCTCCCATGGAGGAGCTGGTGGGTTTGAAACACCAGCCTTCTGGTTAGCAGTCAAATGCCTTAGGCACTGTAACATCAAGACCCCCAGGTTTCTTTTTATAAGCACTTGTATTTGTACAGCTAAAACTGAAGTCAGCATTTTTAGTTTTCCTAATCTGCCACACGATAATCACACCAAATAATCACCCTTCACTGGGAAAATAGTTTACTGCATGATTAATTCACTGATGTTACACCAGGTGACGTGCTCGTCCTCTCAGAACCTCTAACCATTTATTTAACTCAGTAGAGATTCAGGGGTTGCAGCCAACAAGTTAAACTATAATCAGTTTGGTATCACAAAAGGAGACAAGGTGACTAGCATCTGATCTGGTTTTATTTTTTCACATGTTCATTTTTACTTAAGACATTTTTTAACATTTTACTCAATGCCTTTTCTGAATGAACAAAAGAATGAATGAACTGAGAAACTGAATGAAAACCTGTTCCGTGTTAAAGCTCTTTCCCATAAACCACCGGAGGCACAAGCTACTAACAACCGACCAGTTGTTCCTTGGTTGGTGCCTTCCTGTCTGAAGAAACCATGCTCCTCGCTGGGGGCAGAAGAAGAAGTTTTTACAGATTTTTCTAAGAGGCTCTGGGTAGTTCATGGGCACATTTTCTCCACACATCGACGTGTGTGCTTATTACCATCTACAATGCCAATGTATCAGATAACAAGTGTGTATGAATTCTCGGCATTTGATACTTTGGTACTGGAGAAAAGCATGTGTGTGGGGGCAGGGAGGAGGCATAATTCTAGCCCTAAAAGATTTTAACCTACTTTGGATGTACTATTTTGGACATTTCCCAACCCCAAAGCTGATACTTACATTATGCACAACAGACATTATTTCTGAACTAAGAGACAATTCTTTATTTTCAAGCTTTATGTCAATTATATGCTACTGCTGATGCAAAATGCCTTTCCCTTTCTAAATTTCAATGTGTGTGTTTTCACTTCCAAAGTTAAAGAGTTCTGTAAATATGAGGCACTGATCACAGGATGGAGGGCATAAACGAGTTTTACACGCTTCCAAGACCCCTCCCGAGCTACTGCCTCGGATGGTTTTCACACCAGTTAGGGACAATAATCATTTCTTCCACTGTCTGCCCCCAAGTTTTTCAGGTGAAAACAACTGGGGCATTCCTACTTCCGTAGTGATACTGCCTCAGAAACCCAAGGAGGGGTCGCTATGAGTCGGGGCCGACTCGATGGCAAACAACAACAAGTAATAATCTAACTGCACTAAGCAGTGATAATGTGGTAAGTGTACAGTATGGAAGAGGGGTCCAAGAGCACTGATTCTCATCAGATTTGGGTTCAAATTCCACCACTCATCAGCTATGTGACCTCAGGCAAGTTAGTCTTAGTTATCGTGTGTTGCTATAGCAGAAATACCACAAGTGGGTGGCTTTAACAGACAGATTTGTTTTCTTACAGTATAGGAGACCAGAAGTCCTAATTCATGGCACCAGCTCTAAGGGAAGGCTTCCTCTTTCTGTTGGCTCTGAAGGAAGGTGCTTGTCTCCTTTTAACATCCGTGAGCCTAGCATTCCTTGAAGATCTATATGTGTCTTGGTATCAGTCTTCTCCTGGGTCTAGGAAATTCTCAGCACAGGGATTCCAAGCCCAAATGACATGCTCTGCTCTCAGCTTTTCTTTCTTGGTGGTACTGAGGTTCCACCTTCTCCACTTGCCTATCTCTCCATTTATCGCTTGTAAGATAAAAGCCACTCCTCCGAAAGAAGGTTAGGTAACCTACTTCCAAAGTGACACTGCCTCGGAAACCCAAGGAGGGGTCGCTATGAGTCTGACTCCGTGGCAGTGCATTTGTTTCTTGGTTTGGAAGATAAAAAGTGATGTAGGCTACACCCCAAAGAAACTCCCCTTAGAGCAGAGCTGTGACCTGATTAAGGTCATCATTATCACCTTACATCTTACTGAATGATCACATCAAATCACATCATGATTACACATCATTATAGAACTGCCAAAGTATATCATTACATAACTGCCAAACCACTGGGAATCATGGCCCAGTCAAATTGACACAAAATTTGGGGGAATACAATTCAACTTGTGACAGTTTCTAAGCCTGTTTTTTGATGTACAAAATGGGCATAAAGGTATCTGCATCATATAACTATAGTTATAGTCCAATTAGGTCAGATAATTCTGTAAAATTTACACTGTTTGAAACATAATACGTGTCCAATAAATACTAACTGGGAGCTCTGGTGGCGTAGCGCCTAAGGCATTTGACTGCAAACCAGAAAGCTGGCGGTTCAAACCCACCAGCTACTCCTCGGAAGGAAGATTGAGCAATCTACTTCCATAGTGATACTGCCTTGGAAACCCAAGGAGGGGTCACTATGAGTCCAATCTGATGATGGCAGTGAGTTTTGGTTTTTTGTTTATGTAGAGTAAGAGATCACACATACCTGTTACTGCCCAAGGACACAACCTGTGTCATTTTTTTTTCCCTAAAGATTAAGGGTGTTTGAATGCAAATAGGGAATATGTAAAGCAAGGAATGTTAAGGTGAAGTGAAAGGCAATGGCTGACAAATTCAGTAAAGTTTAGCAGTCACTTCCATTGCTTGACCCACCTTCTCACCATTAGAGAGCAAGTTAAAATTGCTAGACAAGAAGTAAAAATAACAACCTTAAGTTATTTGTTAGAGGAGGAAAGAGAAAAGGTGAGCTCTCATAGCTTCCCCATAGACAAACATCTGGTCAAAGCTGGGGGGGGGCCGGGAAGCAGAAGATGCTGGACTTAGAAGAATATGTTTTCTTTCTCCTTTTCTAGGCTGGAAGTGGTAGTCCTAGCAACACTTATTTATGCAAGCTTTGCAGCTCTAAGGACAACCCTCTTTAGAACTGAAACTTAATATTCCCAAAGACCTTTAAGCACTATACTAGTCTTCAGTGCCTTTTCGTTTTCTAAGAAGACAGCAAGGAAGAAGGGTAGGTGAGAAAACTTGTGCTGAAACATGGGAAGTATTAAATACTTTGGTTAGAAAAAGATTTTCATTAAATGTTTTGATTATTACTTTGGTGGCACGTACTGCCAGCAGTCTGCTAATAAGTGAGATATTCACCCTCAACTGACCAAACCAAAAAACCCCAAACCCACTCATAGCTACCTCCATTGGATTACCAAGGCTGCAAATCTTTATGGAAGTAGATTGCCTCATCTTCCTTCTACAGAGCAGCTGGTGGGTTTGAACCGCCAACTTTGGGGTTAGCAGTCAAATGCCTTACACATTATGCCACCAGAGCTTCTCAGATGACCAAAACATTTTTCAGCCCTACACTCTATCAACATCGAAGCAATCACTCTTTATTCTCTTTTCATATATACTGAATATCACCAACACATCCATTTCAGAAACATACCAGATTTTATGAAAAATATCTGTTATTATATTTAAAGGTAGCTATTGCAGAAGAGAATCGTAATTACCCTCTTGGGCAACAATGTTGATTTATAAAACCCAGCATCTTAATGTTGCCAATATAACCTCTGCTTGTTTGTTTGTTTGTTTGTTTGTTTAATAAATAAATAAAAACAGTAATTTAAAAATTCAGTTCACAACACTTCCACTCTACAGACATGGGCTGATACTAATCCTCATCCTCCAATAAATAGTTTTTGCAGACTCTCCAATGAGGAGAAGAAAAGGAGATGAGTGAGAGGGAACAAAGGAGACCTGAACATTAGTCTGGTGAGTGTGAAGACCACAGCTTATAACCCAGAGCACCATTATACAACCAGGCTTCTGGAATCCTCAGATTTCCAGAACACTTCTGAGGTCCAGAGAGCTTTTGATTTGCCTAAACTTTGTAAATCATCCAGATAAACTGCTGTCACGAGGCCTATCCTCTGCTTGACTGTCTCCAAGAAACAGAACTCACCATTATTTAAGATCTTTGTTGGGACAACCTCTGACTATTAGATAATGCATCAAAATCTACCTCCCTATAGCTTCCACCTTCTAAGGCCCAATAGTATTTTCCGTAATGATTAATTCCATTACTCTATGATACTCTTTCAACTGTTTAAAGTTAGCTTATGTCCTTCCTGAGGTTTCTTTAGGCTACCCACCCACTGCTCTTTATTCAGTATGGTTTCAAGTTTCCTCTCAAATTCAGATGACTGGCCAATGAAAACACAGAGGACCATCAGGACAGCAGACCACATCAGTGTGTCACAGCACAGAGCAGAGAGGACAAAATCACTTTTCTTCCAGACCCCACTAAGATTACAGTAATATTTGACAGAGTCACATCCTCTGATTCATTTTATATGATTGCCTAAATCCACTAAAATGTTAAAGTCGCTGCTGTTAAGCACGGTGAATTAAAGAGAATCTTGCATTTGAAATCAATGGCTCTGTGCTCATGTTTTTGTTCTGGCATTTAATTCACTAAATGATGCTAGGCAAGCCAGGTTCTTTAACTATAAAAAAAATCAACTGGACTAGATCTCTAAGTTCCAGCCCAGCTCGCTTTACTTCTATCATCTCCCACTTCCGTGGCAGTTTGTTCTGGTCAGCAATTGGCCCTCTACATACCTTACTAATGATTGTCGGAAAATAAAAAGTGGTTCTTCCTAACTAATATTTTAGGGTCTCCTATACAAGCTAATAAAAGATCATTCTTACCAGATTTGCAACTGTCTACTAAGTCATCTTCCAGGATAACCTTCATAGATCGTGGAATACTTCCAACAGATAGCCTTTGGACCTAGCAAGAAAAAGCAGACAGTGAAGATATTAAAGGCACAGTGACTAAATATCCAGAAACCTAGAAATTACAGTTCCTGTTTCTCTGCTATTATCATCAAATTTAATTATGATGGGGATATGGAATTTTTTTTAAAATCATGCCTATCAGTTTATGAATTCATTAAAACTAGAGTAAAATAAAACCACCAATATGGAAAATATCTTTAAATAAAACATACTTTGTGCACCTACCCCAAGCCATGGTGTTTTCAATAGCCTTATATGCATGTGAAAGTTGGACAATAAATATGAAGACTGAAGAAGAGTTGATGCTTTTGAGTTGTGGTGTTGGCAAAGAACACTGAAAGTATCATAGACTGCCAGAAAAATGACAAATCTGTCCTGGAAGATGGAACAGATGGAACAGGTGGAACGCTCCTTTAGAAGCGAGAATGCCCAGACTTCATCTCACTTACACTGGTCATGCAGTCAGAAAGGATCATTACCTGGAGAAGGATATCATGTTTGGTAAAATTGAAGGTCAGTGAGAAAGGGGAACGTCCTCAATGAGATGGATTAACACAATGCCTGCAACAATGGGCTCAGATATAGCAAGGACTGTGAGGCTGGCACAGGACAGGGCAGTGTTTCCTTCTGTTGTACAAAGGGTTGCTGCTATGAGTTGGAGATGTCTTGGCAGAAACTGAAAACAACAACTTTGTCAACTGTCAAAATATAACTACTACTAATAATAAAGTTACCTACCTAGAAAGAAGAGTCATTTTCTCTTCCCTGATCCTAGTAATAAGGCCTGGGACAAATCACTGAGTCCTTTTGACTATTCTTTAGAAACAGAACCCTAGTTTTATTCCATGTGGAAATATGCCCAGCAAAAAGACTACATTTCCCAGGCTTCTTTACATCTAGGTGTGGTCATATGAATAAATTCTGGCCAATAAGAAATAAGCAGTTTTAGGGGACTTCCAGGGAGAATGGAACTTGATTGGATGTGTATTTTGTCTATCCTCTCTTCCTCCTGTTCTGACTAGAATATCCATGTGATGGGGTTGTAGCTACCATCCTCTATGAGAGACAACCATAAGAATAGAAAAGAATAGAGCAGAAAGACAGAAGGATACTGAATCTTCAATACCGAGGTGCCTACATTCTAGCCTATTGCCTACATATCTTAGACGAAAGAACATACTTTTGTATTTAAACTGTAGGTAAAGGAAAATCAAGCTTATCCTCATTTTGTGTTTTACTTAAAGATTTATTTAAAGATTGTTAAAGAGTTGCATAGCAACTAAAATTGAGCCAAAACCCCAAATTCTGCCCACTCCAATGTTTAAGCCTATATCCTCCTTCTCTCCTATCCCTCAGTTATGAACAGCTAATGTGGACTTCTTAAATATTAACTTTTTAAATTTTAGCATGATTATTAACTCACTCCACAACCTTCCTGTCAGTGCTTTATCTAAAGATATGACCATTTAAGTGGTGTATGGCTATGTATATTTCCACCCAAATAACAGTAACAATAAGATTATTTCATGTTTTCTAAAGACTGTATTCTGATATATATACAGTGGTTTCAAGACTGATCTTCTACAAAGTAATGACACAAATTCCACTGGTTATCCCTTCTATGTTCTCCAATCTTAGCAATTTACCCATAGCTGAAAACTGCTTTGCTTTCTCAAATTCATGTTACTTTTCTAACTAATTTGATCATTTACCTGTTCCTGAATTTTGATTTCCTGATAATCTCTGCACCTGGCTGGAGATGAAGACAAGCCTGAGAGGCAAGTAAATTTTGAGGAGTCACAGCTCTCCAAGCTGGGGCACGAAGATGGCCTGCAGAAGGCGTAATACTGCTCAAAGTCAGCCTTGACCACAAAGACATGTTTGCATTTGTTACACATGTAATCCCGCTCAAACTCCAGCACTTTTACCAGACTTGTTCGAATCACTGTCCCTGTGACGGATAAAAAGTGTCCCACATCCTTGGTCTTAGGGATGTGCTCTCTCATCAGCTCAGGACAGACAGGCAAACCTGACAGAGGACAAAAAACAAATCACATCATTAAGTTATACCTCAGGATTTGACTTCATAGTTTATCGTTCTCATATTCCCTGGGGGGAAAGGCATAATTTCCGGGAGGTGGGGAAGAAAACTTTGTGTTTTACTTAAGAAAAAAATCAGGCCATCGACTCAATTAACAAAACTGAAAATAAAAATTATTTCAATTAACAACTGTCAATGACCTCTTTTAAAAGCACATATCTAGATGCTGTAATAATCGGGACTTAACAAAGGACTGATTTGGGTAAAAGAGGTATTTAAGTAGGATTTAAATACCCAAACTGAACCCATATTCAACAAAGAACATATTGCCACTTGCCCCAACTAAAAGCATTTGCTGATTTTTTGCCTAACCACAAAGCAGAATGAGGAAGAGATGGTAACATTTTGACTAACAGTTCCCACAGTGTTAAAGGCTCACTATTGCTTTTTAAATTAGGTTCAGGATTTATTATTATATAAATCTGCAGTGAAGTGAATTGCTTAATATAGCCTTTCTAGCCATTGTCCTCTATTTTATGCTGTATTGTAAATCCTGATCTTATGCCTGTTTGGGACCACTGGTAGCATAGTGCCTAAGGCATTTGCTAACCAGAAGATTGGTGGTTCAAACTCACCAGCCACTCCCCGGAAGCAAGGTTGGCTCTAAAGCGATACTACCTCGGAAACCCAAGGAGGGGTTGCTATGAATCAGATCCGACTCCACGACAGTGGCTGCGTTGTTCTTTGTGTTTATGCCTGTTTAGGGTGGGATGTATCCTGAGTTCCATTTTGCTGAAGGGTATGACTCAAGTCACCACCCTTAGCTTCAGTAAGGGTATATATATACATGTTGTTATTGTTGTTATGTGCCGAGTCGGCCCCGACTCATAGCGACCCCTCCTTGGGTTTCCGAGGCAGTATCACTACAGAAGTAGGATTGCCCAACCT